CTAATGCAGCCCAGACCTAATATAACACCTGGGTTGGAGAAGGTCCAATTCAATACAGGGTGAATAAATTAATGAGTGGCTGAATATATGTTTGAAGAACAAGAAAAAAGACAGATGGTGCTAATAGTGGTTCCAAGTCTCCTAGACAACCCTAACTTACAAATGCGTCTTTTATTTCTAAACCATTAGCAAGCAATCTGGGGGAGACAGTTAGATGTGTCCCCAGGGTCTCTCATTGTAACCAATGTCTTTATATTTATAAAGTTTGTATGTCTGTGATGGAATCAGATTCACAATCATGGACATAATATACATACAAGTGGAATTCTTTGAAAAACTGGGAGAAAATGCCTTTAGAAGCACTCCTTCCTTCCGCCTCCCACCCCTATCCCCACCCCTGCATCTCTGGATATGATCAACACACTTTTCCCCAAACTCAGGATGCTCCATTCCATGGTATATCATTTTGGGTCATTAAATAACAGGATTCAATATTAATGTTGGCCTTTTCCATCCCTCTTGAACAAAGTGTGCTCAGCCAAAAATATTAAACTAGTCAACCACTCTCTTCGCCTGTCAGAGAAACAGCCAGCATCCTGAAATCACAGTTCATTTGTACCACATGGGCGTGAATATTCAGACTCCATTTGTCTCCAGCTCTTAAAGGCTGGTGTTAGAGTGAATGATAGACGTTTTGTTTTGAATTAGCAAGAAGGAGGAGAGAAAAAAAAAGCCCTAAGTAATAAGTTTGGCCTAAAATATCTATTTCAGGGAATGCAGCTCTGCCATCTCCTCTAGTAAATGTTAACTTAAAAAATCTAGGTTTAATTTGACACTAAGTTGGACCTGGGCTAGAGAGAATTGTGAGGAGGAAAATGTCTCAGATTTTCCCCCTCCCCGGATTGAGTGTTTGCTCTCCTGCATCTCACAGGGGGTCTGCTGCATGCAAGTGCAAGGGGTTCACAGCTTTGTTTTGTTGAACATCCCAAAGCAGAGATTGGAAGTAGAAGGGTCTGTGTCTTTTACCTTTTACAAACTCTTCGCAGTGGGAACCTTGGATAAGACTTGGATAGTCCCTTGGGATAAGACTCTTAAGGAAGTAGTGGATTCAAGGCTTTCTCACCTATGAGCCTTGTTCTACAACCACAACCAGAAACCCATAGAAAAGACTCCTAGTGTGAGAAAGACCCCTTTACATTGTATTCTAACAAGAGCTGGCACACTTGAACTACACAGAAGACCCAACACTTTGTCAAGGGTCCAGGGAGGCTTGTTCAGCAAAACTCAAGGAAAAGGGAAGAAAAAAACCCTCTTTCCACTCCATCTGGAGTTTCAAGGGATCCAAAAATATGGGCCCATCGTGATTATAAAAATCTCCCATTTATGCTGTTCTAAAACAAGGGCAAAGCCTGCACACAACTCAAAACACTTCTTTCCAATGTTCATAGGAAAATTATCTTTCTCTCCAAGTCCTTTCGCTGCCTGAAATTAATGAAACACAGTCAGGAGGCACCTATGCTGGCCGCTGGCCACCATTCATTTGGATCGCCTCACCTAGGCTAACCACAGATTGCAGAACTGTTTTCTCTTGACTTAAAAATGTCTCCTTTCTCCTTAAAGGTAAATAACAATTTTCATAAAAAATCACTGACTCAGGTTTCATTGACATTTTGGGTAGCTATGAGAAAACTGGCATCTTTTTCCTGGCTACTCAAAGAACACCGAGAGGAAAATAGAGAAGAAGGTACCTGAACAAGCTGATATCTCCAAGTTCATTATTTAAAAAATGGGTGGGGGTATGCCAAGGAGGAGGAGGAAGCTTCCAGATTTCTGATAGCCTCTTTTGCTAGTAATCAGATAATCCAAAGGAAGATCAACAGTTCCTGCTATCAAAAGAGAACTAAGGGAGAGAGAAAAAGAAAAAGAAAAAGAAAAGAAAAGCAAGGAGGGAACTTAAAGGAAAATAAATAACACTTTAGAAAATAAAAGAGAAGCAAATATTTTTTCCCTTTTTACTTGCATCATAGGAAGGAGAAAAAATTAGGGAAATTCAGTGCTGAGGTAAACATGATCTCAATAGATGGTGGAGCCCAGAGAGAAGTTTATTATGGCTTTCATGACCCATGGCCCATCTATACTCACTAGCCCCCATTCTGGCCATGCTGTGAACCCTAAAATATTTCCAATGCTTCCTCTAAAACATGTGTACTGCGGGGAGACTAGTAGGGACCAATGAACTAAGGAGGGAGTTCAGGGAGCAAAAGAGGTACATTCCCCCCAACTTGCCTCTTCACTGTCTGGACAAGACAGTATTCCATGGCACCTGACTCTAAAAAGGACTGACTCTTCCGTCTTTGGACATTAATGGGCTAGTCCTGGGCCTCTCCCACTGTCCAGTCTGATCAGTTCTCATTGGCTGATGAAGAAAATGATCCCAAAGGAAGGTATCGATGTGTGAGACTCCTGGACAGGAAGCTAGGGAGCCAAACATATGCTCATGAGTAGAGTTAGCTAGAAGGAAGCTAAGTTGGGTAGGGTAAGCCCCCAGGATGGTTTGAGGCATATCCCGCAGAAGTGAGAAAAGGAGAAGGAATAAAACAGGACCAAGACATTAGAGGAGAAAGAAATAGGTAGACATGCACATTAGCTAATATACATGTTCTTACAAACCCTCATTAGAAGTAGCATAAAGATTTCCTTCTCCTGCCCTAGCTGGTTTGGCTCAGTGGATAGCACATCGGCCTGCAGACTGAAGGATCCTGAGTTCGATTCCAGTCAATGGCACATGCCTGGATTTCAGACTCAATTCCCAGTAGGGGACATGCAGGAGGCAGCCAATCAATGACTTTTTCTCATCACTGATGTTTCTATCTCTCTCCTCCTCTCCTTTCCTCTCTGAAATCAATAAAAATAAAATAAAATAAAAAATAAGATTTCTTTCTTCTGTCATTTATCAGGGAAACTTCCTATGTACAATTTTTGGTGGCATTTTTTAAACCACAGCTTTTCTCCCTCCATATATTCTCTGAAGATGGCCTCACCCACTGTCATGATTTTAATTCCCATGTATATGTTATGACTATGAACATCTCTGTCTCTAGTTCTCACCTGAACTTCAGATTTGCATCTCTCTTATTTTCTATACATATGTCCTTGGGTGTCCCTTCAAGCTCAATGAGTCTCGGTGAAAACTCACTGTCCTTCCCTCTTGGTTCTTAGCAGTGTCCTCATGGAAAATGACCTTATCTGGGCAAGTTAATGCTATTTTCTGTCTCTTGCCTACCTCTCTGAGGAGAGCAGTAACTCTCCTGCCATCAGTTAATAAATTTTCTTTCAGTCCTCTCCAGCTTTGACCTTGACTATTTCTACCTGTTGTGGGAACAGAAGGGTGGCAAGGGAAGAGAAAGCACCACTAATAATCATTTAGAGATAGTCTTAAATCATGTAAGTTGGGGTTCAAAGGCTTTATCTAATCCATTAATTTATTCATTCATTCAGTTAGCCAGTCATTTAATAAATATTATTAAATGTCTATTGTATACCAACTTTCTTCTGGTGCTCTGAGAAATGCAAAAGGCACACTCTTCAATTTTAAAAATTATGAAATGTCAATGGGAAATGACAGCTTTACATACAAAGGACTATAACAAACTGCAGAAAAGACAAATGCTCTGAGAGTGATAGAAATGCTAAGGGAGTTCAGATGAGGAGAATTAGAGAGAGTTCGTGTGCAATAAGCTAAATACCAGGATACTCGTGAAAGAAAATGATAATGGGGTGTTATAGACAGAACTGTGTTCCTCCCAGATCCACATGTTGAAGTCTTAATCCCCAGCAGCTGAGAATGGGACTGTATGTGGAGATTAGGTCTTTAAAGAAGTAATTTTGTTAAAATTAGGTAATTAGGGTGAGCCCTAACCCGATACGATTGGTGTCCTTTAAGAAGAGGAAATTTGGAGAGAGAGACATCTGACATAAACATGCAGTAGGACGGCCATGTGAAGGCACAGGGAGAAGATGGCTGCCTGTAAGTCAAGGACAGAGCTCTCACAAGAAAACAAACATACTGACATTTAAAAAAAAAATCCTCACTCGAGGATATATTTATATTGATTTTGACAGAGATAGGAAGGGAGAAAGAGAAACACTGATATGAGAAACATGAATTAGTTTCCTCCCATACACATGCTAACTGTGTATCGAACCACAAACTAGGTATGTGCCCTGACTGGGAATGAAACCCACATCCTTTCGGTGTATGGGATAACTCCCCAACCAACTGAGTCACCACCTAGCCAGGGCTGCTGACATCTTGATTTTGGACTTCTAGCCTCCAGAACTCTGAGAAAATAAATCTTTATTTTTTCAGCCACCCAGTCTGTGGTATTTTGCTATGGTAGCCATAGCAAACTAATGCAGGGTGTAACTGATATAATCCTGAAACAATAATTGCCTAACCATGAGAAATTCCTTTAAAAACCTTTTCATCCTACCGATGCCCACTTTGGTAAAATTGTAAACAAGTGAAGTATCCTTTAGTTTCTCCATCCCTTATCTTTTAAAATCGCCTCTTCCTGCTGCCCAAGTAGACTTTCTGCTGATAGAAGTTTGCCCCCCAGCTAAGAAGAATTTGTCGAAAGTGAGGGGTACTTAATGCTTCTGACATCATCAGTGTTTGTGCAAAGGGAGCTACCCCCCTGAAGACTGACTCATCTTCTCTTCATTACCTCAAGTCATCGGCATTCTTTGCAGGAAGTAAGGACTTTATTATTGAAAGGGGACTGTTTTGCTTAAGATTATATATATATATATATATATATATATATATATATATATATTTTCTGAACTTGATAGATTGCCTGGTAAATAAATGATGAGGGGCACTGCAGAAAGCTTGGTTTCTTGCAATGCATCATTAGGTGCAAGAATCAGGCAGAGAGGCTATGTAATTGCAAAAAGCAGAGTACCAACCTTGCCCCCAGTCACAAAACTCTACTCACGGTTAAGCAATCAGATATCCACGTCTGAGCCTTCTTATTGATCACCAATTCTCGTGGACTTCAATTGGGTGAACTTGGAATGTTTTAATGATACCTGGTATAAAAGAAAAATGGAAACACAATTAAGCGGAATAAACTTTTGTTAATATAAACTATATATTATAAAATATCACTTTCCCTCATGTACTAATGTTAGTTAGAACTTAAAGGGGAAATGAGGCATAGATGTGAATATATATTGTGCATTTTAAAGAAAATAAATACAATTATTACAGAATCAATCCCTAAAATATTCTAAATCATAGGGCAGAGAAGGTGTTATAGTTAATACAAAACAGAGAGTACTATACATGCCAAAAAAGTCCGAGGTAAATGCCTTAGAACAAGGTCAAGGTCACCCCCTCTCTAAGCTCAACCTTCAAGCCTTCTAAGCTTCAGACATCAAAGACCCTTTGCTTTGCCCAAGGTCCTCTGCTGTTGTTGGTTAGGGTCTGAACCAGTTGGTAGAAAAGAAGGCACCGAAGGATTACAAATAATAATAGAAATATGCTAGTAGATAATCTAGAGTTAACTCTCTTGCAACTGGAAACACAGCAATAAATATTTAACATCAGACCAAAGAATTAATAACTGTGACAATAAGTGACCATCACACTCCTAAACTCCTGATACTACAAGGGATGCAAATTAGATGGGTGTGGAAATGGCAGCTTTGGCCTTTTAATTCTTGCTTTTCAGTCAGTAGAATAATGTGAGTCTCAACTGGACCTTAAGAACTTACCTTGCTTTCCCCCACCCACCTTTGTCATTTTGCACTGGAAGAAAATAAAAATTCACAGAGGTCAAGGGATTGGCTTGAAATAGTACTGCTAGAAATTGGTCCTGGAGTCCTAGACTCTCATTTCAGGTTTCACAGGTAAACAAACAACAAATCAAACAAAAACCTGCCTAGTGTGTTACCTATGGTTTGTATGTGTCTGTGGAAGGCTGGTTTGCAAACTAGGAATCGGGGCTCCTAAGGTAGTCAGCAAACCAGGTGCTACCCTTTTCTTACTGAGGAGTCACTCGGGCTCCCTTTAGCTCCCTTCCCTGCATACCTTCCATCTCTTCTTACTCATCCCAAATGCATGCACCAATTATTGTTGTTGAAACAGTTAATGTACCTTGCTTAGCATTCAGGGATGTGGGCCCTGACTTAACAGAGCCAGAAATCTAGTTAGAGTGATAAAATGTATAATTATACTTCTAAGTTACAAAGCCAGAAAGTGGTAAGAGCTCCAAACCCCATTTAAATTCCTTTTCTCTTACCGCAGGCCAAATTCTAGAGGCCTTTTCTACAAATCTGAGAAGGGGACAAGAAAACCCATGCACCATCCCCAACTGGAAAGCTTGCCTAACCCTGGTTCTGAGCACACACCCCCTCCCCCCCCCCGCCAGCGCCCAGTAGGGCATTACAAAATGAATAATGAGTGAATGAATAAACAGAAACCATGAACAGGTTTCAGGGAAGATTGTGAATTCCCTGAAACTGGAGGCCAAATTTTGTGTGCTTAAGCTTTCATTAGCTTTTGCTGATTTCCCAAAGCAGTCTTGGCTCCTTCCCTCCCCCCTTCCCCAACTAAGAACCTCTTGCTCAGGGATCTGAAGAGTAGCAGAGGATGGAATTTAGATGAGACAAATTACAAAGTGTGTTCCTATGAGTAACTTTATAAACAAATATGGCTTTAGCGCCCTCTCTGTGCCAAGGAAAGGGCATACATCAAGGAGCAATTAGCCATTGTACTTGGTCTCGTGGCAACTTATGCTGTGCTATTGCCCTAAAGGGGGATTCTCAGACTGGCTGCATATCAGCATCTTCGGGGGACATTTCTTTAAAAAAACATACACACACCAAAATATATGGAATATGCACCTTAAAAAATTTCCTACATTGGAATGCCGGTGCGGATGGTACTACCCACCCCATGAGGCCTCCCACCCTTGACCCTCAGACTGCAGTGAAGGCTAGGAGATCAGAAGAAAGCAAGGAGCTACCTGTCTGGATTGTAAAGGAACACACAGAAAGACTCTGAAATTTGCAAAGAAAAAATTCACAGTACCTTTGGTGGGGAACTCAAGAAACTCAAGAAGTTAACTGTTTTTTTTGTTTGTTTGTTTGTTTTTGGTTTTGGCAATACAGTTAATAGGTGTGGTAGTTAATGCACTAAAAAGCCATTGTTCCAGCAACCTTTGTGCCCCAGGAGGACCGCAAACAACCAAGATGGTATCTAATTCAGTGTGCTCCAGGGAGAGAACGTCCAGTCAACAGCACAGGACACAGATAAGAGTCCCCAGTCAGCAGATGAGGGGATGCTAGGAAAAGCGCCAGACTGCAGCTTTTATCTGATTAACCCTTTTCCCTGAATTCCAACCCCTTACCTACTTTTCTTCTGAATCCCAAACCCTTAACCTACACGTTTCTTCTCCCTATAGAAAAGGTTGGCTTTGAAGTGAGATTTAAGATAGTCTTTAGGGTATATAATCCTCAGCCTTCTCAGATCTCCAGCCATCTGAATAAAGCAGCCATAAAGATCACTACTTGGAACATATCCCAAGAAACTAGAAACACCAACCAGAAAGGATATATGCCCCCCTATGTTCATAGTGGCACAATTTACCATAGTTAAGATTTGGAAACAGCCTAAGTGCCCATCAGCAGATGAGTGGATTAAAAAAACTGTGGTACATCTACACAATGGAATACTATGCTGTGGTAAAAAAGAAGGAATTCTTACCATTTTCAACAACATGGATGGAACTGCAGAGCATTATGCTAAGTGAAATAAGCCAGTCAGAGAAAGATAAATATCACATGATCTCACTCATTTGTGGAATATAATAAACAACATAAACTGATGAACAAAAGCAGATCCAGAGACAAGAGGAGCATCAATCAGACTGTCAAACCTCAGAAGGAAGGCAGGGGAGGGTGGGAGTAAAGGGGAGAGATCAACCAAAGGACTTAAATGCATGCATATAATCCTAACCAATGGGCACAGACACCAGGGGGTGAGGGCAAGAATGGAGGGGGGGTGGACAGATAAGGATACATATGTAACATCTTAATCAATAAAGGAAATAAAAAAGATTCAATCCTTGTCTCTACTTATTGGTCTGGTAGTGACAGGTAGCACAATTGCCAACCTTTCCGGTGTCACCTTCCACAAACACTGGGAGAGGGTCAGTATTTATTTGCCCAATTTCCCTCTCCGTGCTTTCTATTTCCTCAATATTTTTATTTTAAAATGTGGGCATGAATACAGGAAAATAGAGGAAGGAAATGGCATCAGTAGAAAAAACTTTTTTTTTTTTTTTTTTTTTTTTTTTTTTGTCTATAGAGCCTGTGTATATGTTCAGGAACTATCTTGTTAGTGAGACAAAGCTTGAAAGGCTTTTAAGAGAAACCTTTAAAGTGAATGGCAGCGACTAAGAAGGGAGTTTGACTTCAGATACACTTTCCTTTCTATTTTCAGATTTAGGATCAAAGGGCCAGGAAGTTGATAAAACTCTCACCCCTTGCTTTAAGATCTTTCTCTACCACCAGTTAGCTTGCAACTTCAAATATTAATAGATGCCTGAGTGAACCATTACTCACTGATCCCTTAACCCACAGCGTTTAATTCACCGGCCAACACACAGATGGTGGCTGACCTGGCTCAGAGGTAGTTGCAGGCAAAGCTGGACACAGTAAGGAAAGAAAGACCTCAATGAAGGAAGAGAGGAATAGAAAGGGAGGGGGGTGGGGAGGGGGAGGGGGAGGAGGAGGGGGAGGGGGAGGAGGAGGGGGAGGGGGAGGAGGAGGGGGAGGGGGAGGAGGAGGGGGAGGGAGAGGGAGAGGGAGGTTAAATTAGGCAAATGAGTGGGTCTTCCTTCCCAGCCAGCGGCAAACAGCCAGGAGCTAGCCACTGCTCCTTTGCTTGAGACAGCAGTATGTGGGGAAATGTGGGCTTTGTATGAGCATTCACTCACCATGGGAGAATAGAGGTGTAATAAAGGAAAGGAGGACTCCCTCCTTCCAGTTAGATTCCTAGTCCTCCAAGAGCTGTGATCTTCTGAAAACCCTTAGGATGACTCCAGCTAAAGCCACTCAGTAGCTCAAGAAACAGAAAGTAGCACCTTCTTGGATGACATAATTGGAAAAACGTTGCCACTACATACGTAGCTGTAAGAAGTGTTCAAAATTCTACTTTAAAATTCTAATCCTTGAATTAGGGATCCTTTGTAAAAACGAATAACTTTGAACAGCCAACAGAAAAACCCGATTTTAATTCATCTAAAATGTACCTTATGTGACTGAATTAGAACTCTTTGATTTTAACTTTAATATTTACTGGTATATACCTTCATGTCTCTTTTTTGATAATATGCTCTAGTTTAATTATGGACATAGTAATAACTACTGTCATTAAGGTCCTGTTCTAAGCACTTGGCAGACATCTATCTCATTTGACCACTAAAACAACTCATGAGATGCACACCTTTATCTTGGGATAAGCACTGAGGGGTTCCTTGTATTGAAGTCATTTGCTTAATTCACCCAGCAAGTAAGTAGTGAGGTCACTATTGAAACCCAACCTGATGGTTGTATTGGAAGGATACATGCCCACATTCACTTATTCTAAGCCAGACTGGGACACATTGGGATGAGCAAGGACTGTGCTTCACAAAGCGTACATTCTCGTGGGAGACAGACGACGCATATTTCCAACAGAGAGTAAATACGCCCCTGTGCTGTGTTAGAGAGATGATAGAGGGCCACTGGAGGTTGGATGGTGAGGGGTGGTCTCTAATGAGGAGGAGACATCTAGGCTGAAAATAATATCTATAAGGAGTAACCCATGGGAAGATCCGGGGAAAGAGTGTCCCAGGAGCAGCCCTTGGGAATCCTGGTGTGAGGTAGAGGCTTTTAAAATGACTCTGTGCTCTGTGATCACGAAATTCTTCCAAGTTCTTTGGTCCACATGGGATTCAGGCTTATTTGTCCTTTAGTAGAACACACGCTGCTAAAATGTGTGCTAAACAAAGGGGCTTACAAAAAAAAAACCAAAATGATTC